AGTGGAATCATACATGTCAATGTTTGCAGATGACGCAAAATTAATGAGAAGAGTTGTGACAGACGAGGATTGTAGGATCCTCCAAGAGGACTTAAACAGGCTGCAGAGATGGTCAGGGAAATGGCTACTGGAGTTTAACACCAGTAAATGTAAAGTTATGGAAATGGGATCAGGTGACAGGAGACCAAAGGGACAGTACACAATGAAGGGGAACAGCCTACCTGTAACGATTCGAGAAAGAGACCTGGGAGTGGATGTGACACCTAATCTAACTCCTGAGGCACATATAAATAGGATAACGACAGCAGCGTACTCTACACTGGCGAAAATTAGAACTTCATTCAGAAACCTAAATGAGGAAGCTTTTAGGGCGCTTTACACTGCCTACGTGAGACCCGTCTTAGAGTATGCCGCGCCATCATGGAGCCCCCACCTGAAGAAACACATAAAGAAACTGGAGAAGGTTCAGAGGTTTGCGACGAGGCTTGTCCCAGAGCTACGAGGGATGGGATATGAAGAGCGGCTGAAGGAACTGAACCTTACGACACTAGAGAAAAGAAGGGAGAGAGGAGATATGATAGGGACATATAAAATACTCAGGGGAATTGACAAAGTGGAAATAGATGAAATGTTCACACGTAATAATAACAGAACGAGGGGACATGGGTGGAAACTGGAAACTCAGATGAGTCACAGAGATGTTAGGAAGTTTTCTTTTAGCGTGAGAGTAGTAGAAAAATGGAATGCACTTGGGGAACAGGTTGTGGAAGCAAATACTATTCATACTTTTAAAACTAGGTATGATAGGGAAATGGGACAGGAGTCATTGCTGTAAACAACCAATAGCTAGAAAGGCGGGATCCAAGAGTCAATGCTCGATCCTGCAAGCACATATAGGTGAGTACATATAGGTGAGTACACACACACACACACACACACACACACCCACCCACCCACCTTGGCCCACTCATACTCCCACCTACAGTGTCCCAGCATCACCACTCAGCTTCTCTGAGTTGCCATCTGCTGCTGGCGCTGGGTCCAGCCTCGTATTAACTCTCGTTGTTCTGCCGTCTGATGCTGCTTAATTCCATTATTCTCTCCCCTCAGATCCTGTCTATCACTTCCTCTCTCCATCACCATCTGCAGCACGAGGTCAACCATGCTCTTTCCATGAGAGGAAGAGGGAGAGAGGGGGGGAAGGGGGGGGGGAGAGGGAGGAAGGGGAGAGAGGAAGGAGAGGGAGGGAGGGAGAGAGAGAGAGAGAGGAATGGGTGAATGAGGGAGTGTTGACCCCTTCATCAGTCTGGGAGGGACCGTGCCTCCCACCCCTGGCTGTTGTGGGAGGAACTGTCTGGAGGTGGGGAAGGGTGGGCAGGCTCCTCGTTGAACTGTTAGCTAATCACATCTCGCCCCTTCTCTAACCCCCATTTAACATCAACCTTTTTTCCCTTATTGGCGCTAAATACAGGAATAGTTTGATCAAATATCTTGAAAATTTTGATGAAATCAGTGCATAATTGTACATATTAGAGGAATTAATGCGTGACCACAGCCGAGTCTCTCCCCTCTGCCCTCTCTCCCAATCTCCTTCCCTCTCTCACATCTGTTTATCTATCCCCTTTCTGTTTCCATCTCCGATCCTCTCTAACTTTCTTCCCCAATATCACCCCCTCTCCTCTTCTCCTCTTCTCCGTTTCCTTCCTTCTCTCACCTCTCCAACCTCTCCTAGTCTCTTCCACCCTCCAACTATCTTCCCCTCTTCTTTTTCCTCTTTAAATTTCCCAATTTCCCCCTTTTTCTCGTGACTTTGATTTTGTCAAAGTTGGGGAATGAAGAGGGATAATGATAAGGATTTGAAATTAAGTGGAAACAGGATGAGGATCGAGTAGGAGGAACTGATCTTTCAACGGCCAATGTTGTGTTACTGTGTGACACACAGTTACTGTGTGTCATACAGTTACTGTGTATGAGATGTGTTACTGTGTATGAAATTTACCCTTCTTTTTCTTCCTCCACCTTTCTCTCTCAAAGCAATATATGTAACGATTTATATAATTAACACGTTTAGGTACATCTGCATTAGTGCAGCTACCCTAGACTATATGAAGGGGAGCACAGTGTGTCAAAAAACTAGCTACATGGTGCTAAAAATCCCCATCACACAGGATGGTTAGTCATACAGAGGCATGTGGTCAGTAGTCTGCACTGGCAGACTCTGGGTGCATTATGAGGATATCAACACAAGAGTGAATAAGGTAGTAGTGATAATAAAAGTCCCCGTCTCGCAGGATGGTTAGTCATACAGGGCCATATGTTTAGTAGCCTGCACTGGGAAATTTTGGGTGCAATATGAGGATATCTTCAAGAACACGAGAGAATAAAGTGATTACAAAGCTCCAGGTACCTCATGCCAACTAGTCTGAAAGGTCTAATAACTGAGCATTCGGTGATGTAGAGTGGGAGATCATGCCGCAGTTCCTGCTCAGAGTTTCCACCTGGAGTGCTCAGGATTGGGAGATCCTTCACCTGTAGCCACCTGCCACAGGTAACGGTAACCCAACCTGATCCTTGCAACTATTGTGTCGCACAGTCTGGTCGACGTTTTGTGCTGCCCATAAACATAGGTTTCAGATCTGAACAAGTCATAGCTCTTTATACTAGTGCTTTGAGATCGTTGGGAGTCAGTAATTTCTCCTATCAGACTAGATTGTTTGGAACAATATAGTTTTGGCAGCAGAGATGGGGATACCTAGGTCTATTTCAACTTTATCTGTGTTACACGCTAATTTGGCTGCAATGTCTGTGTCATTATGATGGGTTAAATTTATGTACAAAGGATATATTATGGGATATATTTATCCATACAAAGGAGATTCGAAACCCTTTACTCTGTGCAGCGATTAGATAATTTATAATTGCTAGTATGAGTTTCTTGGTGTCGATCTTCCAGGAGAAATTTTAAATTGCTTGAAGAGCAGACTTGGAATCACAAAATATTATTCCTCCTATGTTTTTTAATGTTCTGGTAGCTAGTTTAAGTGCCGCTAGTTCTGTTTGTGTGGAGGTCAGCCCGTTGTTTAACCTGGCACTGATAGTCTGCGTGAAAATATTATTTCTATAAAACCTACATGCTGCTGCAGTCCAGTAGAAGACTGGACGGAGCCGTCGATGCAGCCACAGTGCTCGTGAGATCTTAAATTTTCGATGGCGGATGCAATTGTTTCAAGTATGAAAGCTTTGAGAGGAGCAAGATTCTCATTACCTTTCTTGGTTACGTGTGTGTATGTTACTGAAATGATAAAGAGGAATATCGGAGACAGGTAGATTACACTTTATTAAAAGGAATGTTCAGTTTGATGAGATTGTAGGCATTTTTACTCAGCCAATTAGTTTACGGGCAACACAACCAGTATTTCAGATTTGACCACGAAAATCGCATGAGAGTATAATAATATATTGCACGCCTGTCTCTAACTTCATAAGAACATAAGAATGAAGGTAACCGCAGAAGGCCTATTGGCCCATATAAGGCAGCTCCTATTTACATCCAAATTCAGATACGTTGTATGCTGTTGCACTGCCGATTTCTCATGCTAGAAATATAATATATTTTTTCATGTACTAGGAGTGCGCTATTAATATATATTATCTTCCACTTCAGCCTGCTGCCTCACCTGAAGGCAGATGAGTCAGCAGGCATACTTAAAAGAGTGCATGCACTCTTTCAAGAGTGCAAGGACCGTCCTCCTTGTGAGACAGCTGGCCCAAGGTGGAACTCTTACAAGAGTTCCACCTTGGACCAGCCGCCTCACTTGCACTCTCTCTCACTAATGGACTCGCGCCAGGAATCCAGCTCAATTAGGCAACTTTTCTTGCCCATTTTAACTGGACGTTCGCCGAAGTCTTGTGTTTACATTGCTGCGGCTTCAACACTGTAAATATTTGTGAGAGTGGGAGGTCCTGGGGCAGGTAGTGTGAACTCTAACCTCGCAAATATTCCTTAATCTGGTCATGACCTTTGACCCAATCGTGAACCATGACCTGGGCCACGTTTTCTGGTGCGGCCAAAACTATCGCCGCAAGACTCTATATGTTACAGTTACTATCGTCATAAGGTTCTATGTTGGTTACCATCGTCGCAAGGCTCTATGTTAGTTACCATCGTCGCAAGGCTCTGTGCTACAGTTACCATAGTCGCAAGGCTCTGTGCTATAGTTACCATAGTCGCAAGGCTCTATGGTACAGTTACCATCGTCGCAAGGCTCTATGGTACAGTTACCATAGTCGCAAGGCTCTGTGCTATAGTTACCATAGTCGCAAGGCTCTATGCTACAGCTACCATCGTCGCAAGGCTCTATGCTACAGTTACTATCGTCGCAAGGCTCTATGGTACAGTTACTATCGTCGCAAGGCTCTATGTTACCATCGTCGCAAGGTTCTATGTTAGTTCCCATCGTCGCAAGGCTCTATGGTACAGTTACCATCGTCGCAAAGCTCTATGATACAGTTACTATCGTCGCAAGGCTCTATGCTACAGTTACCATCGTCGCAAGGCTCTATGGTACAGTTACCATCGTCGCAAGGCTCTATGGTACAGTTACTATCGTCGCAAGGCTCTGTTACCATCGTCGCAAGGTTCTATGTTAGTTACCATCGTCGCAAGGCTCTATGGTACGGTTACCATCGTCGCAAGGCTCTATGGTACAGTTACCATCGTCGCAAGGCTCTATGGTACAGTTACCATCGTCGCAAGGCTCTATGTTAGTTACCATCGTCGCAAGGCTCTATGGTACAGTTACCATCGTCGCAAGGCTCTATGGTACAGTTACCATCGTCGCAAGGCTCTATGTTAGTTACCATCGTCGCAAGGCTCTATGGTACGGTTACCATCGTCGCAAGGCTCTATGGTACAGTTACCATCGTCGCAAGGCTCTATGGTACAGTTACCATCGTCGCAAGGCTCTATGGTACAGTTACCATCGTCGCAAGGCTCTATGTTAGTTACCATCGTCGCAAGGCTCTATGGTACAGTTACCATCGTCGCAAGGCTCTATGGTACGGTTACCATCGTCGCAAGGCTCTATGGTACGGTTTCCATCGTCGCAAGGCTCTATGGTACAGTTACCATCGTCGCAAGGCACTATGGTACAGTTACCATCATCGCAAGGCTCTATGCTACAGTTACCATCATCGCAAGGCTCTATGCTACAGTTACCATCATCGCAAGGTACTATGCTACAGTTACCATCATCGCAAGGCTCTATGGTACAGTTACCATCGTCGCAAGGCTCTATGCTATAGTTCCTATCGTCGCAAGGCTCTATGCTACAGTTCCTATCGTCGCAAGGCTCTATGCTATAGTCCCTATCGTCACAAGGCTCTATACAGTGCCTATCATGGCAAGGCTCTATGCTACAGTTCCTATCATCGCAAGGTTCTATACAGTTCCTATCATCGCAAGGCTCTATGGTACAGTTACTATCGTCGCAAGGCTCTATGGTACAGTTCCTATCGTCGCAAGGCTCTATGGTACAGTTACTATCGTCGCAAGGCTCTGTGGTACAGTTCCTATCGTCGCAAGGCTCTATGGTACAGTTACTATCGTCGCAAGGCTCTATGGTACAGTTCCTATCGTCGCAAGGCTCTATGCTACAGTTACCATCGTCGCAAGGCTCTATGGTACAGTTCCTATCGTCGCAAGGCTCTATGGTACAGTTCCTATCGTCGCAAGGCTCTATGGTACAGTTACTATCGTCGCAAGGTTCTATGTTACCATCGTCGCAAGGCTCTATGGTACAGTTACTATCGTCGCAAGGCTCTATGGTACAGTTACTATCGTCGCAAGGCTCTATGGTACAGTTACTATCGTCGCAAGGCTCTATGCTACAGTTACCATCGTCGCAAGGCTCTATGTTAGTTACCATCGTCGCAAGGCTCTATGCTACAGTTCCTATCGTCGCAAGGCTCTATGCTACTGTTACTATCGTCGCTAGGCTCTATGCTATAGTTGCCATCGTCGCAAGGCTCTATGGTACAGTTACTATCGTCGCAAGGCTCTATGCTACAGTTCCTATCGTCGCAAGGCTCTATGCTACTGTTACTATCGTCGCTAGGCTCTATGCTATAGTTACCATCGTCGCAAGGCTCTATGGTAATAGTTACTATCGTCGCAAGGCTCTATGGTACAGTTCCTATCGTCTCAAGGCTCTATGCCGCAGTTACCATCATCGCAAGGCTCTATGCTACAGTTACCATCATCGCAAGGCTCTATGCTACAGCTCCCATCATCGCAAGGCTCTATGCTAGCTACAGTTACCATCATCGCAAGGCTCTATGCTAGCTACAGTTACCATCGTCGCAAGGCTCTATGCTAGCTACAGTTACCATCATCGCAAGGCTCTATGCTAGCTACAGTTACCATCGTCGCAAGGCTCTATGGAACAGATACCATCGTCGCAAGGCTCTATGTTACAGATACTATCGTCGGAAGACTTCTTGCTATCGTTTCTATAGGCACAAAACGCATTACCAACAACACAACCATGATGTATGGCCTTACCACACATTTGCACTAGGCCAAACTAAACCAATGGCCAATGTGATGTGTGTGAAATACGCAGGCGATGAGTCACAATGACGTGGCTAAAGTATGTTGACCAGACCACACACACTAGAAGGTGAAGGGACGACGACGTTTCGGTCCGTTCTCAAGTCGATTGTGAGATCACAATCGACTTGAGAATGGTCCAGGACGGACCGAAACGTCGTGTGAAATGAGTTGACTCTTATGTAACCTTGTTGGATTCTGGTGAAGTAGACCCCACGATCGTATGATATATTATATGCCTGAAATATATGGCATTTCCTGTTTGCATTTTCTTAGTAATTTCTATGAAGTGCTTGATCAATAAACACTGGGACACATGACTGGTAAGTTGTGTATAATGTATATGATACATATGGAGTGTGTGTGTGTGTCTGGCATTCTCTAATTACCTGTGTCAGCATTGTCTCTTTAAATCATTAACCTACCTCAAGCAGTAATCAAAACAGTATAAAACACTATATCAACTATATTAGTTTACTCTCGTATTCACTTCTTTGTTTTGCACACTCGACTGTGATGATCCCAGGTAATTACCTGCTGGGCGTCGACGTTATAAACTATTATAAAAAAGCCAGACTTTTGGTTCTATTGCTCTGGGGAATATGTTGCCTGGTGCAATATTCCCTTGGGTGCAGGAGGGCTTTTGTGATGCTGTGGATATTACGTCCTTTGAGTCCCCCGACGCTGGCTACCAGAGTGAGAAATGGTGTTTATGGCTGAGTGGAGAACTGCACTCAAATACTCTCATATTATAGTGTAACATAACACAGGACAAGCGACGGTTGGGAGGTGAAGGACTGGTAAATGTTTGGTAACTGTTTCACAATGAACGTCAATGATCTAATTTATACAGGTAATATGCGCACACACTGAGGTGTGAGGGCGTCTTTGTGCGTGTGTGTGTACTCGCCTATTTGTGCTTGTTGGATCGAGCTCTAGGTCTTGGACCCCTTTTCTAGCCACTGGTTGTCTAATGCAATGATTCCTGACCTATTTCCTTATCATGCCTACTTTTAAAGTTATGAATGGAGTTAGCCTCAACAACCTGCTCCTTTAAGTCATTCCATTTACTCACAACCCTTAGGCTAAAAGAAAACTTTCTAACAACTCTGTGACACATCTGAGTCTCAAGCTTTCATCCGTGTTCCCTTGTTCTGTTGGTGTTCAGTGTATCATTTCATATGTTTCCACTCTGTCAGTCCCTCTAAGTATTTTATACGTCTGTATGAAGTCCCCTCTCTCTCTTCTCTCTAACATCGTCAGGTTTAGTTCCTTCAGTCTCTCTTCGTACCTCATCCCTCGCAACTCTGGGACGAGTCTCATTGCAAACAACTTCTTTTTTCGATCTTATGTGATTTGTATAAGATGGGGTTCCAGGATGGGGCGGCATACTCTAAGTCTGGCCTCACATAGGCGGTATACAGTGATCAAAAAGCTTCCTTATTTAAGTTTCTGAAGGATGTTCTGATTTTTTGCCAGCGTAAAGAATGCGGCTGACGTTATTCTTTTTATATGAGCCTCTGGAGTTAGGTAGGTGTTGTGTCCACTCCCAGGTCCTTTGCTCTAGACAATATAAGGAAGTAGTTTCCCTTTATCTCCTGGCTCCTGATCCCATTTCCATCACCTTACACTTGCTGGTGTTGAACTCCAGTAGCCATTTCTCGGATCATTTCTGCAACCTATTCAAGTCATCCTGGAGCATCTTACAATCCTCATCTGTCTCAATCGTCCTCATTAGTTTTGCGTCATCTGCAAACATTGACATATAAGACTCAACTGCAGTCAAGTCGTTTACATAAATGAGGAATAGTATGGGTCCCAGCACTGATCCTTGAGGCACCCCGCTTGTTACTCTACGCCAGTCCGACTCTTCGCCCCTCACTGTCACTCTCTGGCACCTGTCTGTTAGGTAATTCCTTACCCATTTTAATTTTTATGCGTTGCCGCCTACTCCCGCCTGCCTCTCAAGTTTGTATAGTCGCCTTCTGTGTGGTACTGTCAAAGGTTTTTTGGCAGTCCAGAAATATGCAATCTACCCAGCCTTATTTTCGTTACCTTATCATAAAACTCCAAGAGGTTCGCCATGCAGGATTTCTCTCCTCTAAAGCCGTTGTTGTTGTTTACTTACAATTCTAATTCTTTCAAGTACTTTACAAGGGATGCTTGTGAGTGACACTGGTCTGTAGTTAAGTGCTTCTTCTCTGCCACCTTTCTTGTAGATTGGCACCACATTAGCCTTCTTCCAGCAGCTGGGCAATAATCCCCCTAGTAAGGGACTCATTAAAGATTAGCGCTAGATGTTTGCTGAGGACCTGTGCTGCTTCTTTTAACATCCATGGTGATACTCTATCAGGCTCAGTAGCTTTAGCTACATCCAGTGATGCTAGTTGTGTTCTTACTTCCTCTATTGTTACCTCAATATTTAGAAGTGTCTCGTCGGGGGCTGTTTGCTCATCTAGGTCTGGGAGGTGTTCAGGCTCAGTAGTGAACACTCCATGGAAGCTGCCATTGAGCTCCTCACAAATTCCTTTATCATTTTCTGTATACTGGTCTCACCTTTTTCGTAACCTGGTCACTTGGTCATTCACTGTCATTTTCCTTCTTATATGGATGTGTGTGTGTGTGTACTCACCTAGTTGTACTCACATGGTTGTGCTTGCTGGGGTTGAGCTCTGGCTCTTTGGTCCCGCCTGTCAACTGTCAATCAACTGATGTACTGATTCCTGAGCCTACTGGGCTCTATCATATCTACATTTGAAACTGTGTATGGAGTCATCCTCCACCACATCACTACTTAATGCATTCCATTTGTTAACTAATAACACTGAAAAAATTCTTTCTAACGTCTCTGTGGCTCATCTGGGTACTAAGTTTCCACCTGTGTCCCCTTGTTCGTGTTCCACCCGTGCTAAGGAGTTTGTCTTTGTCCACCCTGTCAATTCCCCTGTGAATTTTGTAGGTGGTTATCATGTCTCCCCTTAATCTTCTGTTTTCCAGGGACGTGAGGTTCAGCTTCTTTAGCCTTTCCTCGTAGCTCGTACCTCTTAGTTCCGGGACGAGTCTGGTGGCATACCGCTGAATCTTCTCTAATCTTATATGTGTGTGTGTACTCACCTAATAGTGCTTGCGGGGGTTGAGCTCTGGCTCTTTGGTCCCGTCTCTCAACCGTCAATCAATAGGTGTACAGGTTCCTGAGCCTATTGGGCTCTATCATATCTACACTTGAAACTGTGTATGGAGTCAGCCTCCTTTATGGAGCCGGTCGGCCGAGCGGACAGCACACTGGACTTGTGATCCTGTGGTCCCGGGTTCGATCCCGGGCGCCGGCGAGAAACAATGGGCAGAGTTTCTTTCATCCTATGCCCCTGTTACCTAGCAGTAAAATAGGTACCTGGGTGTTAGTCAGCTGTCACGGGCTGCTTCCTGGGGGTGGAGGCCTGGTCGAGGACCGGGCCGCGGGGACACTAAAGCCCCGAAATCATCTCAAGATAACCTCAAGATAACCGCCACATCACTTCCTAATGCATTCCATTTGTCAACCACTCTGACACTAAAAAAGTTCTTTCTAATATCACTGTTGCTCATTTGGGCACTCAGTTTCCACCTGTGTCCCCTAGTGCGTGTCCCCCTTGTGTTAAATATCCCGTCTTTATCTACCTTATAGATAATGTGTGCGTGCGTGCGTGCATTCGTGTACTTACCTGTTTGTGCCTGCAAAATCAAGTTTCAGCTCTGCGAGCCCGGCGTTCCAGCTGGTGGTTTTCTAATACAGTGACTCTTGATCCATTTTTCTATCGTATTTACTTCTGAACTTACGAATGGTGTTCGCCTCAGCAACCGGCTTATTTAGTCCTTTTGAATATTCTACCAGTTTTAAGGTAAAATAAAACTTCCTAAAATATGGCTCATCTGTTCTCAAGCTTCCATCCGCGCCCTCGTACTTTACTGATTCTCATTGTGGACATCACTACTTTGGCCACTTTCAATCTCGAAAAATATTTTATACGTCCGTCTCTTTCATATCTTCAGTTTCTCTCCCTCTGCCATCTCTACTGGACGATAGAGAGAGTGAGTCTCGCTTCATGCAGGTCGGCGTTCAATCCCCGACTGTCCAAGTGGTTGGGCACCATTCCTCACCCCGGCCCCATCCTAAATCCTTATCTTGACCCCTTTCCAGTGCTATGCAGTCGTAATGGTTTTTTTTTTTTTTTTTTTTTTTTTTTTTTTTTTTTTTTTTTGAGATATATACAAGAGTTGTTACATTCTTGTACAGCCACTAGTACGCGTAGCGTTTCGGGCAAGTCCCTGGAATACGAT